AAGACGTTAAATAAATTTGTTGTGGGTAAGAGCACTGATCTGTAAGTCCAGCTACCTAACCTGAGGATTCAATCTTTGGAAGAACTCAAAGTTTACAATTGTCCGATTGGAAGGTTTGTCAGGAGGAGGGAAGAGAGTTTTTCCCCTCGTCTTCGTGTGATAGATATTGTTCATATATTTTTGTCCTAAATTGAGCTCCCGACCTTTCGGCTCCCAAAGAATTGTCGTTGGCTGGCGAGTGCACCATGGTGCTAAATTCAATATTCAAATCTTAGTAGTCTCACTTCCCTCAGTATTGGTTCGCAGACGGTTTTGTTTTCCAAAAGAGTTTCTGAGGAACCTTACTCCTTCTTGAGTCACTAGTGACTGAGTAATTGTCATAGCCTTAAAGTGTTGCCTGAGACCTTGCAAGCCTTGTCACATTGAAGTCATTGAAGATCGAACGATGTCCAAAAGCTCGAGTCTTTGCCAGAGGAAGGGCTACGAGGCCTTGATCTCTCCAATCGTTGCACTTATCGACTGCTGTGACTGGAAAGGCGATGTGAGAAGGGAAGGAGGAGAGATTGGTTAAGATTGCGCACATACCCGAAATTCACAATTGAGGTATATGATTTTCTTTTGCCATTCTATACTAGTTGGTTTACAACTGTAACACACTATATCAAATAAATAGCCAAGAGTAACCCATTTATAAATAAATAATTTTAAAAAAAATTCACCAAATAATAAATTAACATTCACCTTAATTTGTTCAGTACCTAAATTTGAAATTTGTATATTTTCTCCAATTCGTAGAGTTGTTAAACAAATTAATCTCAAATTGATTGAGATTTCAACAATAAGGCTCTGTTTGTTTTGTTATAAATATTTTTTCATGTAAGGTATTTTGTCCAAAAAAAATTTTTATTTTTTATTTTACATGTTTGGTATCATCAATAAATATTATTCCTCCAACAAAAATTAATAAAGAATTAATTATAGAGTAAACTTTAAAAGAAAAAATATAACAAAGATAAATTCAATATATATAATTTTCGTTTAAGATTAAACATAATGATGTGACAACAATACCTTACATTTGAATTATAAATAATGAAAAATTATGTTTTTAATGAGTGGATATAAATGAAACATACCATTATATATAGATTTTTTGTATACAAATATGTTTGTATATCAATTATTCAGGGATAAAGAACATGTTTTAGTCTCTCAACTTCAATTTTGTCATTTTGGCCCTCAAAGTTATCATTTGAGTCAATTTAGTTCTATCCTAACGTTTGTTTACATTGATAAACGGAAAAAATTTTATCTTTTGGTAAAAGATAACTTTGGTCCCTAAAGTATCCATTTTCTTGTCATATTAGTTTCTTAAGTTTTAAATTTTGTCATTTTGGTTTCCAAAATTGTTAATTTAAGCTATAACCATTGACAACTTTGATAACTAAAATGACAAAATTTAAAACTTGAGAGACTAGAACAACAATAAACGAATATTTTAGGGACCAAAACTATATTTTATTCATATTCCTATTATCCAAGTAGACTCACCGTTACCTATGACCTAATTGCTCAAATTGACAATTTTTAATGATCAAATGAAAAATTAAACTAAGGGATTAAAAAAAAAACATCACATATTTTAGGGACTAAATTATCTTTTATCCTTATTCAAGAATAAAAGAAGACAAGATTGAATATAACAAAAATAATAACCCAAACTTAACTTGAACCTTAATCTTGATCAATTGCTTAACCATAAAATATATATATTATATAGGTATATATATACATATATGAATGTGAGAGAGAAAAGAGAACAAATATAGCGACCCGGTCTTCCCTCCATTTGATTTATGTATCCGGACTAGGTTCCGTAGATTCTGTCATTGTATATATTGTTTGTTGTTGTCTCTTATTTTCACATTTTGGACTTAATAGGATGTGTTGGGCAATTTGTTTCAGGTTGGTTGGTTAGACAACCAAAGTATTGCTTGTCTAAATCTTTGGATCTTCGCTGCGAGCGCGAGGAGTTTGTCGCTCGAGCGAGATGTTTTTTTTTTTGGTTCTCCGCTCGAGCCGGGGTTTTGGTAGCTCGAGCGAGGAGTTTGCCGTCTGATTTTGGACCTGTAACTGTGCATTCTTGGCTCGAGCGAGCCTTTCTTCGCTCGAGCGAGTTAGTTTCGTTCTTCGCTTCGAGCGATAGTTCCTTCGCTCGATCAGGTTAGTTAGCTGCCCAATTTTTGGGGGCATCTCAATTAACGGGCAATTTAACAGATAAAGATGTCGGAGACTTCTCAGGTACATCATGTTCTGGGGCAATCTCTCAAGTTTCTTACAGTATTCTAGAATTAATGTTTGCAAATTCAAGAGATTACAAATTGAATCAGGAAGTCGCACAAAACCAGAATCGGAAAGGTTTAAATACCTCAAATGTTTTGCGTTGCCAATTGAAGGTGGCAACTCTGCCACTCTGGCCGGTGCATCAAAAGCTCGCAGTGAACCAAACATTCTGAAATCACACAAAAATAAGTCATCTAGGAATAACCAATTTGAACGTTGTAGTCGTAATGTCCGTAAGGATACAACTTTGTGAAATGTGTAATTAAAATTATCCCCACGCCCGAGAACCAATGTTACATGATGAACTTTTTCATTGGATATATTACTTGAACTGTTAAACTCAATCATTTCACATTCATCCTTCATAATTGATTGGGCAAGATCATGCACAAGATCATGCATCTTGAAACATATACCGCTTGAATAGTTCTTCGCCTCTTGGAAAAAAAATATCAAACATAATTCATTCCAAATCTGATCACCAATATCTTCCGGTTCCCATCCTCCTTTGCATGAAATATAGCCATTAGCCATCCAAAGACGAATTAGGTCTCTCTTTTGAATTTGAGAACCCTTTGGGAAAATGGCACAATAAGCAAAACATTGTCTTGATTCCAATGGAAGATAAGAGTAACTTAATCTTAAGGCAGGCAAGATGGAATTTTTGTCCTGGGGTAAGTTCCAAAATTTACTTTCCTTAACATGAAGCCACTCTTTTTCCTCTCTTTTGAAGCGCATTAGCCCTCCGAGGGCCTTTGCAGCTAAAGGCACACCCCCGCACTTCTTCACTATCTCCTTCCCAATGGCGACAACCTTTGGGCGTTCTTCATTTCCAAGTCCAAATGCTCGTTGCCTGAACAACAACCAACAATCTTCTTTGGATAAAACTGACAAGCGATGAGGTGAAATAGTTCCCATGATTGATGCAACCTTATCAACACGAGTAGTGACGATAACGGAAGCACCTTTTGATCCACATGCTAGTGAATACTTGAACGCATCCCACTTGTCTGGATCTTCATCCCACACATCATCTAATACAATCAGGTATCTTTTCCCATTCAGCATGTCGCGAAGCTTTCTCTGCAGTGAGTCTAGGTCAACTGCCTCACAAGCTTTTTCATTTGCAGATTCTATTGTTGCTTTGATCACCCTTTTCACATCAAAATCTTGAGAAACATAAACCCAAATTTTAGAATCGAAGTGGGGTTTGACCCTCTCATCATTGAAGGCCATTTGCGCGAGGGTTGTCTTTCCAAGACCGCCTATACCAAGTATAGGATACACGGAAACATCCTCACTATCATATACATCCTTGACCAGAAATTTGACAATCTTTTCTTTATCTTCATCTCTTCCGTAGAGTTGTGGTTCAGTGATAATGGAGCTAGTTTCACGGCTTGCATTATATTCAACTCGTGTCACCACCACAACTCCCTCGGTCAAGTGAAATTTACTGCGATTAGTAGCAATTGCATCTAACTTCTGTGTAATCTCTTTTATTCTGTTCCCTATTCTGTGACGAAACAGAACATTCTGAAAAGGATAACAAAAGGGGAAAGTCTATAGTACATTTTGTTTAAAAAATATATGGTACATAGAAAATCAATGGTTCAGATTGAGCCACATCATTAAAAGTGACCTGGTAAGCAGGTCACTTTTTATAGTTATGAGCCAAAATCATATTTGTTCATAACTAGAATCAAATTAATCATAACTTAGTTATGAGCTCTCATCACATATCTCATAACCACATCTCATAACCAGCACCATTTTGTTGATAACCAATATCATATATTTCATAACTACAATCACATATCTCATAACTACATCTCATAACCAATATCCTTTAGCTCATAATCACACCACTTTAATCATAACCAATATCACATATCTCATAACATATATCACATATCTCATAACTACTACCTATATAACTCATAACCACATCTTATAACCAATCCCCCTTTGACTCATAACCAACATTTTATATCTCATAATCAACACCCTTTTGCTCATAACCACATCACTTTAATCATAACCAATATCACATATCTTATAAATAATAATCACATATCTCATAACCAAACACTCTTTTGACTCATAACTACACCACTTTGCTCATAACCAAAATCACATATCTCATAAACAACAATCACATATCTCATAACCATTACCCACATATCTCATAACCAACACTCTTTGGCTCATAACTAACATCACATATATCATAACCACTAATCACATATCTCATAACACCCTTTGACTCATAGTCATACCACATTGATCATAATTAACATCACATATCTCATGACCACATCTCATAACCAGCACCATTTTGTTGATAACCAATATCATATATCTCATAACTACAATCACATATCTCATAACTACATCTCATAACCAATATCATTTAGCTCATAATCACACCACTTTGATCATAACCAATATCACATATCTTATAACATTAATCACATATCTCATAACTACTACCCATATAACTCATAACCACATCTTATAACCAATCCCCCTTTGACTCATAACCAACATTACATATCTCATAATCAACACCCTTTTGCTCATAACCACATCAATTTAATCATAACCAATATCACATATCTTATAACTAATAATCACATATCTCATAACCAAACACTCTTTTGACTCATAACTACACCACTTTTCTCATAACCAAAATCACATATCTCATAAACAACAATCATATATCTCATAACCATTACCCACATATCTCATAACCAACACTCTTTGGCTCATAACTAACATCACATATATCATAACCACTAATCACATATCTCATAACACCTTTTGGCTCATAGTCACACCACTTTGATCATAACTAACATCACATATCTCATAACCATTAGTCATATATCTCATAATCAATACTCTTTGGCTCATAACCATACCACTTTACTTATAACCACTAATCATATATCTCATAACCAACATTCTTTGGCTCATAACCACACCACACTACAAGAAAAGTGGGCTTATGAGGTGAAACTTTTTGCGACGGCACGTTTGCTGTCGCAAAAAATGACTTTTTGCGACGGCACAACTTGCTGTCGCAAAAAATGTGACTTTTAGAGACGGCACAACTTGCCATCTCAAAAAATATGACTTTTTGAGATAGCACAACTTGCCGTCGCTAAAAAATGTGACTTTTTGAGACAACACAACTTGTCGTCGCAAAAAATGTGACTTTTGGAGACGTCAGAACTTCCCGTCTCAAAAAAATGTGACTTTTTGAGACGGCACAACTTGCCGTCGCCAAAAAATGTGACTTTTTGAGATGACACAACTTGGCGTCGCAAAAAAATAGAGTATTTGCGATGACAGAAATTGCTGTCGCAAAAAAAAAAAGAAGAGTATTTGCGGCAGTACCAGCTGCAGTCGAAAAAAAAAAAGTTTTTTGCGATCGTAATACGTACCGTTGCAAAAAAAAAAGTTTAAAAAATATATAATATTGTGGCTTTGAGACGACTTCATATATATATAGTCATAAAATGGTTTAAATAAATGCAACGGTATTTTTCTGTTACAAAAAAAAAAAATAAAATAAAATAAAAATGACGTCGTCTTACTATTTTGAACATTTCTCCTTTCACCCATTTTTTCATCTTTCTATCTCTCTGTCTCTGTCTCTCTTCTTTTTCTCTCTCTCACTCATAACTCTTCTCTGTCTGTCTATCTGTCTCTCTCTTTCTCTATGTGTCTCTGTCTCTCTTATCTCTATTTCTCTCACTCATCACTCTTCTTTGTCTGTCTGTCTCTTTCTTTCTCTCTATGTCTCTGCCTCTCTTCTCTTTCTCTCTCTCACTCATCATTCATCACTCTTCTCTGTCTGTCTGTCTCTCTCTCTCTCTTTCTCTCTGTGTCTCTCGTCCATCTTTCTTCTCTTTATCTCTCTCATCTCTTTTTTCTCTCTGTCTCTCTTCTCTTTATCTCTCTCGCTCTCTTGCTCATCTCTCTCTGTCTCTCTCTCTCTCGTTTATCTCTTTTCGCTCTTTCTCTTTCTCTTTCTCTCTCTCTCTCTCTCTCTCTCTTTGTCTATATCTTTTCATCCATTTTTTCATCTTCCTTCCTTTCTCTCTTCTCTTTCTCTCTTCTCTTTCTCTCTCTCACTCATCACTCTTCTCTCTTTGTCTGTCTATCTATCTGTCTGTCTCTGTGTCTCTCACTTATCTATCTCTTCTCTCATCTCTTTTCTCTCTCTGTCTCTTCCGCTCATCTCTCTTCTCTTTATCTCTCTCGCTCATCTCTCTTCTCTCTATCTTTCTCTCTGTCTCTCTCATTCATCTATCTTCTCTTTATGTCTCTCTCGCTCATCTCTCTTCTCTCTATCTCTCTCGGTCTCTCTCGCTCATCTCTCTTCTCTCTATGTCTCTTTTTTGTCTCTCACTCTCTGTCTCTTTTTCTTTCTCTCTCTCTCTCTCTCCCACTGTGTTTGTGTTGTTCACTCTCTCACTCCTGTCTTCTCTATTTACTGAGCTCCCTCTAGATTTATCGATCCACTACAAGAAAATGCACTTTTAGCGACCACTTTATCTCTCTCTCGCTCATCACTCTGTCTCTCTCTCTCTCCCCTCTCTCCTCTATCTGTCTCTCACTCATTTATCTCTCTCACCACCCATCTCCTCTACCATCTTCACCACTACTACAAACGCTATTCCACCACCACCACTACTTCCACTGTCGCCACTTCATCTTTACGACTACCATTACTACTGCCATCGCCACCACTTCATTACCACCACTACCACTACTGCCACTACTACCACCATTACCTCTCCTTCACCCCTGTCACTCCATTTACACTACCACTACCACAACTTCACTACTAATCTCTTTCACCATCACCATCACCATCACCATCACCATCACCATCACCATCACCATCATCTCTTATCCACCATCTTCACCACTATCGCCGCTCCCTTTCCTCTACCACAAAAAATTAGTTCATGATTTTTAATAACAAAAAAAAAATAGGCCGCAGAAAAATATTTTTCATTGACTACAAAAAATTAACTTTTATTTTAGTGGAAAATATTTTTCATTAAAATATTACCCCTACTTCTACCAAATAAATAATAATAATATTTTTTTTAAAAAAAATCATTAACTACAAAAAAATATATATTTTAACAAAAAATAATTTTTTTTGATGACGACAACCCCTGCCGCAAAAAATAAAAATAAAAATTAAACGATGTTATTTTATTATTTAAATTTCATTTGTGACTAAAAAAAATATATATTTTTTTATTTTTTATTCCCGTCCCCCTTTTTTTTTTCCATTCCCGCTCCCCTCTTCCTTTTTCTTTTTCCATCCCCCTCACCCCCAAAACAAAAAACAAAAAAATCCCCAATCTCAAACCAAAAAATCCCTAATCTCTTCTTACCCCCCCTCTCTCTCTCTCTCTCTCTCCCTCTCGATCGACGTCGAGCGGCGGTGGAGCAGCATCGGAGCAGCTGCAACGTCGACCTCCTCAACTTTACGCCTACATTTTTAATTCCTAATAGGCAGTTACAGCATACCCATGAAACTTTTGTGAGGGGATTCTTGAATCCAGTGAGTATTCTAACAGTTACTTGTAGTATTCAAAAATTCATTACTCATATGCTTAGTTACACTGTTTTCACTATAACAAAAGTAACCTATGGTGACGAAAAGTAGTGAAGAAAATAAATTTCGTCACTAAATAAGAACAATTTGTGACGAATTATAAAATTTTGTCACATATAATAAAAAAATAAAAATAATAGGTGACGAAATTTATTTACGTCAATAAATACTTCTTTTTAGGTGAGAAAAAATTAAGTTTCGTCATTGAAGGCTTTTCAGCCAAATTTTTTTGGTGGCACCAAAATTTAGAGACTTTTGGTGAGAAAAAAATTTGTCACTAATTATAAAATTATTAGTGAGGAATATATTTTCGTCACCAATAATTTTACATTTTGTTTTTTTAAAAAAACTTGATTTTAAATATTTAAAGATTATTTGATGAGAAATATATTTTCGTTACTAATAATTTTTAATATTTTGAGACCTTTTACTGAGGAAATTATTTTGTCACTAATTTTGGATGGAAAATTTTGACAAATTGGACAGTAATGAAAAAAAAAATACTCTACTAATTTTTTCTCTTTTTTTTTTTTGTGTTTATCAGTTTTCCTCTCATATATCTGTCTCTCACTACAACAAATTATAACTTTAATGATTAAAAAATTTTATAAAACACACAAATTTATTTTTTAGCAGGAATACTTTCACATTACCCATCCAACTTATTAATTATGATTATTTTATTTTTTTTCATATTTTTCCATGCCTTTACATAAACCCAAAATTAAAGCACTAAAAAAATTCTGATTTGGCGCCTAAATTGAATGATATCAAAATTTCAATCCAAAAGAAACTTTTCAACTCCTTGGTTAGAACTTTGTGCCCTAATAATCTATCCATAGTTCTTTCACAAAGCTGTAACAGAGAACAATGTGAGCTCATATAG